AAGGTCTAGACAGATTGTTATCAGGTATTTCAGAATCCGAGATGATGAAAGACAACCGAGCAACCTTAAACTCTCATTTTCTGTACAAGTTATGATTGGAAACCACTACTTGAAATCCCATTACAAACCAATACTCACTTACAGCTAGCATTTCAAATATTGCCATTCAGACGTTTTAGAATTTCAGACTGGTTGCATTGGAAGAGCTAAAATGGGGGGAAAATGTTTCTAAGACTTGCTTTTGCAAACAACGATTTCGATGCCACAAACAGGTAATATCCTTCATCATATATCAGTTCAATCGAAAATACTTCTCTACTTTAAATTTCAAGATCAGTACAATGATATATTATACTTATACCAATTTAAATGCATTTAAACGTGTTTCATGATTTTATTACTTAATTGCACCTCTAATACTCGTATATTATCCAGTTGGTCACGTTGTTGCAGGTAACCTGAACATTGAACAATGACATGAATCCGGGCTTCAGAGTTATTGCAAACTACATACACTCTAGGAGCCGTATGATTCAGATGTTGATATTAAAAGGTCTAGAGTGTATACAAGTCTCCTTTCTCTTGCATTAGACTTGTCTGACATATTCCCATTTCAAACCTTAATTCAAACATCTATGTTGTCTCATAAATAAGGATAGACAACCTAGATATTAGAAGCTTTTTGAGCAAGGATAAATCTTGTTTGTTAAAACCCACTGCTTCAAGAAAAACACCAACTGTTCCCTCTTCGTGTCGGCTTGTTCATTTCATATAAGGCATTCCTCGTACACGAGCTTCTCTATATTTTTCGTCATGCTCTATATTTGGTTTCTATGTTGTTTTCAAAAGACAGTTTTTTTTGTCTTCTTATAGTTTTTCGTTATTATGAATTGGGTTGAAATATAAGAATAACCTGAAAAAGGAAATGTTCTATCAGAGTTCATATGACGTGGATATCAGAAAGCATAGGTCGCCATATGCGAGATGACAGTTTAACACGAGAAAAATGACGACTAAATCTAACAATGCAATTAACGGAAACGGTATAAAGATATCAAAAGATGTGGTATGAGTGCCAATGAGACCACTCTCATTCCAAGTCACAATTTGTCAAAAGTAAACAAATATAGGTGAACATTTGTTGTTCATGGTACGTTGTAAATATCAAAAACAGTGAGACCAGAATAACACAAAAACAAGCAAACATGGAATTACAAAAACATATTAAAAATTGTTTTAACAGGTCAAATCAACATAAAAGTACTATTTGAGAGAACTCGAAGTTACTGAAAGCTAGTTAAAAGCCATTAATAGTTAATACTAACAAATGCATAAGAGAATAAAACTATCAACAAACATCCTAGGGATTTAGTGTTTTAACGAGACGGTTAAAGAAGACATGACTTATGCAATGCCAAAATAAATTTATCGTCAGGCAAAAGGATAGTTTAGATTTTTCTTATAATAAATATGCATATAGATATAGATAAAGCAATCTCTATATAACAGTATTGAACCAACGCAAACCACTAAATAACTGAATCTTGACTTGAGACAGACACCTAAAGAATGTGGCGGGAATGAAAATTTGTGAGCGATTAACAACACCCAGTTGTGTAAAGGCACAACAATAGAACCAAAACAATAAAAAAAAAAAAAGAAAGAAAAATGGAGATCTTAGATACATTTAAGATATCTCGCAGTTACTGACGATTAAACTTGTCTATCTCCGATTGTGAGTTGAAATGTCCCTTTTGTATCTCCTGTCCCTCTATTGTGTGTCTAATAATGATTGTGCGAGCAGCTTAAACGTGTTAACCGTATACACACAAACGTATTCTTCAATTAAAACTATCAGAGGGTATAGATGTTGCACAGGATCGGATTACTCGGAGTACGGCAATTTTGATGTGGTTTGTGTTGTTGCTCAGTGTTGAGTGTTCTATGTTGTGTTTTGTTGACTTTTTCTCTGTAATTTATCGTTTGCAGCCATGGCGTTTTTCAATCACTTATAACTTTATATATTCCTTCGTTTAAGAGAAATCGAAATATTTATATAAACAATAAATGTACATTGTCGAAAAATATAAAATTTATGTGTATGAGCTTTAGAAACAGAGTTTCGCTGATTTCACAACCAACACTTTAAACTTTAGTTGTTAAAATCTAAATCGTTGTCTCTAATTTTCAAAGAAATCGGCATAGTTTAAACGCGGACCCCGAAGAGAACACCAAAATGAACTGTTACTCAAAAAGAAATATCCACATAACCGCTTTCAACATGGAAGCTTGGTAACAGGGGATCTTTATTTGTGTACCTGTCATTTGTTCAATATTTTGCTGATTGCAGGATAAAAAAACTTTATAATCGATGATCTCTTTTTACGAAGGACCAAAAAATAATCAAAAATGCATTACTCATATTTTGGTACACAAAATGAGCATTTGTGTACGTAAGGCTAAAAAAACAGTGACCGAATTAAAATAGTCGGGAAAACTAATCGATTATGGGATTAAGAGCATTTGAAAAATATAAAAAATCTAGAATTTGCTGATTCTTGGGAAAGTCATCTAATGCATGAAATAAGATGAAAAATATACATGTCTTAAGTACAGAAGTGTCAATTTCTAGGCTGTTGAAACGTACACTTTAATTAAAAACTCATAAAAAAAATACCATGCTCATAATTTTGTAGGTTAGATGCGCATGTCGTCTGTATATTTAGAGAGATCATTGGCGCTCGAAAATAAAACAGTTGCAAAGCAATACTGAAGTATGAAGTTACCGAAACTTCTTTACAATTGTGCCAACTTTATATATATATATATAACAATCAAACACACTAAATAGAAATAATAATCCCCTGACTGTAATTCGACATCTATGTTCGAATAGAACTTTTTTTCCAAAGTAACGGACATTACCAATTGAAACATCATATAACTAAAGATTATGGTATTACATTTTTGATAATTTAAGTTATGCCCCTAAAGTAAATTTAGCTAATTGTTTGAGAAATTATGTAGAAATTGAATTTCTAACTTCATTTGGCAAAGTTGACCTTAACTTGATTTGGTTTTTCATTTGGGTCTCTTTGAGTCATACACATCTACATTAATCTAGCCTCTGACATGCAAAAGTATATATTTTATTTGGTTAAAATAAATTTGAGCGTTCCTGGTGAAGATAATCAGGAAAAGCACTTTGGACGCATTTAATGTTTAAAGTCTTATTTTAATTGTTAAAAAAAGTTATCCAATCTATTAGCTTCATTATCATGTCACTTATTTGTTCAATGTAAAATAAAGTTTTTGATGATTATTTTCATGCTTTATCCTCAAATATTGTACTTGCAATATGTATACAATTTTATGTTAGAAGGTGTGATTTAGAAAGGAAATTGTGTCGTCCGGAAATAATTTTAACATTGCATTAATAGAAAAATTTAAACAATATAGCAAATATCCGTTTCCAAGCTAAATATACATTCTTCCTGTGATCATTGTTTCCATTATACCAATGACTAAATACGTCCTTCTTCAGTACAGTTTGTGATGGTATAACAAATAATGTTTGCAATGAAATTTCGCAAAATCACATCCAGTTAAGAAAATTTGACTTAGAAAAATATATATGTTAGACCCAGATCGACGACAGTTGTGATTTAAGTTTAGGTAAAGCGATCACAAAAGCAGATAATGAACATAAAGTTATCCTGCTATACCAGTGTAGATCTCTGAAGCGTCACATATAAATCGTCAAGATTGTTTGCAATATTTGACTAAATACGTTATATTTTGCTACATTTACCCTCTAGATCTGGACTATGATCATTTTATCAGTTTGGAATGCATCATCCATGTACAAAGTAAACATTGTTTACCACACCTATTTTCTTATATCTTGAATATATATGGATGTTAAGTTGAGATCAGTTCTAACTTTATCTTTAAATCTTTTGAACCTAGTAAAGATTCTGCAGTTCTACCCTACAGCTGATCCAGTCAGGTCTGCTTTAGACCATGTTTGGACAGCTCCACCGTAGATCTGATTCTATTTGTTCTACCAAAGAACCAAAGAACTGTTTCTGTCATATTTTACTCTAGAACTGACAAATAAGGGTAATTATTTTGAATAATTACCTCCTCTAACAGCTTTTAGTTGTTAGTGGCTTTGAACTAGCTGTCAGTAACTGCGAGTACTCTCAGATCTGTACGTACTTAGTGTCTTTTTGTTGTTGGGATGTACAAGTACCCGGCCACGTCCACTTGTATTTGTAGTATTTGTATTTTTATCCATCTGATGAGTTAAGCCTTTTTTAACTGATTTTTATAGTTCATTCTTATGTTGTACGGTTACACCACTGTCCCAGGTTAGGGGGAGGGTTGGGACCCCGCTAACATGTTTAACCCCGCCACATTCTGTATGTATGTGCCTGTCCCAAGTCAGGAGCCTGTTATTCAGTGGTTGTCGTTTGTTTATGTATTACATATTTGTTTTTCGTTCATGTTTTGAACATAAATTAGGTTGTTAGTTTTCTCGTTTGAATTGTTTTAAATTGTCATTTCGGGGCCTTTTATAGCTGACTATGCGGTATGGGATTTGCTCATTGTTGAAGGCCGTACGGTGACCTATAGTTGTTAATTTCTGTGTTATTTGGTCTCTTGTGGAGTGTTGTCTCATTGGCAATCATACCACATTTTCTTTTTTATATTTAATCCATGCGATATCAAATTTTCACAATGCATATTCTATATGTGCACCTCCTCCACAGTAGCTAAACAAAGAATAAGCTGCATCCACCAATGAAACAAGATCAGTACATGCACAGCAAAAAACACAGATTGAATACTTCAGAAAAAGTTATCATGATAATATGGATGTTAAGTTGAGATAAGTTCTGACTTCATCTTTAAATCTTCAAAACGAGTACAGATTCTGCAGTTTCTTCTTTAAAATATATGGACAGTTTTATTTGCAAATACAGAAAATCCAAGGGTTTGATCATTTATTAAGTATGTAACAGTAACTAAGGACACTCATGGACAATACGAATGCAAGTATACTATAAAAATTCTGCTTCTCATAATAATTAATTATTGTGTCATATAGACCATCGCACACCAGTGAACGACCCATTGCACTTCGGCGAAGACTTTCGTTTTTCAGTGTGAATATCGCATTTCAGTGTCCCCATCGCACCACCGAGTCCTTTATGTATATTAGTAATAACCCCACCGTTTTCCATCGTATATTTGTGACAGATCTTATCCCCCTTAAATGAGGATGACTTAACGATATGCACATGTCCGATTTGCACAATTTCCGGTGTGATTGATGAAAATTTGATTTCGGTACTTGACACGGATTTTTCGACTTCATTTCCATCTTTATTTATTGAGGTAAAATATTCTCCGCAATGATTAATTTTCTCATACTCATGATTATTATCTTGGGAATTGTATACAGGAATGTCGTAGGGATGAATATAGTCTTCCTCTATATCAAAATCCATGCTGGATGATATACTCGAGTAACTCTCTAAAGCATTATCGTCCCCTTGCATACTACCATTTCTGCCTACTGGGAACAAGTGCACACTGTAGTCATCAGCTGTGCTATATAAATGAATGTTTTCTCCTTCAGATGCTCTTTGATCTGTCGGCGTATTGTCATTGTGTTGCTCAATAATGCTAATATTTCTCGTTTTGTAATGTCGATACCTTGCATACAACATGATTGTCAAGACAAGCATACAAACTAATGCACAACATAAAATAATTTCTCTTCTTGTAATACCTTAAGAAAAAAAGACAAATTTTATTTCAAATACTGTATTTATTTAAATCCAAATAAGTCTAGGTAGTCATACTTAAGTTGTTAGACAGACAACCCAATGTAATACACATTTTAGCTCGGTGTTTGAAAACTTGTTTGTAATTCTAATATGACGTGCTTCTTTAGCTTTGTAAACAAACCCATGCTCGAAATCCATTAAAATTTGTTTGCACATGCGTATATTGACTACTGCAGAAAAAATGAATATTATCAAATTGGCATGCATTTAATATATTTCATTACTTAAAACACTTTCAAACTCTTAAATGATGCAAATGTTCTTACTAATATATATTCAATGACTACAATATGTTACAATTCGCAATTGACATATTTGACCTAGATACGACAACGTAGTTTTAACATGGGTAGGCATTAATTTTTTTGGTATTTTAGCCCTCGCTATCGCTCGGGCAAAAATAATCACGAATATTATGCCTACCTATGTTAAAACTACAATAAAGTATAGCTTGCATCAATTATTTCTTAAATTAAGTAGTCGGGGTTGTTTTACTCGTTGTTCCCGCACCCTCATTTTTTGTTAGGCTTCCATATCTTGCTCTTTTAAAGATACTTAGTATATCCAAACAAAACATAACAAAAAGCTTTTGAAAACCACCGGATGTTGTGTTACTCTCCCATATATAAAAAAAAAATACTATAACAACAATATCGTGCATATGCATCACTCGTTTGTGATCTGTCCTCCTCTAAATATTTGTTGATTTCTATTTCTTCCATTTTTTTTAATAATCTAGGTAAATATTGACTTTTTAATTTTTCTCTTATGACTCATTAAATAAAGTTCTATTATCAAAACTGTGACGGAGTTTAAAAAACAAGGTTTATGCTTTCTTCATATTGACGTTGACGTCTTTACACTTAAATCGTTTGGTGAGCACTGATCGATAATTAAGTCAGTTTTTTCAATGGTTGTAATTGGTTTCGAAAAACTCTAATATTTGCTAGTACACTTAGTTCATTACTGTGAGTCTTTTTGACTGCTGAACGATTGTTAGAACGACATAATATATGAAGCGGGATCTGTTTGTCCTTCCGTAACACCTGAGACCATCCCCAGTTTTTGATGGGGTTCGTATTTCTCAGTCTTCAGTTTTCTGTGCTGTTTTTGTGTACTATTTGTCTGTTTTTCTTTTTCTTTTTTAGCCATGGCGTTGTAAAATAATTTTCTACTTGTGAGTTTGCATTTCACTCGAGTATGGTTCACCCCTCTCTCTCTTCAGTGCCAACACAATTACAGTTTCATTTGTAAAATTACGTGCCTATACTTCATACATATGCATGATAGACAAATAAATCAACTATTTGAGTTCACAACGCTTTCAGCGCTCTTCGAGTTGTAATGACGGAGAAATCCCGTTTACCCGGAGAGAACCAACAACCGTCGACAGAAAAATTAGGCTACAATTCTGTTTTTGCTGACAAATTATAGGTATCTCAGAGTCAAAAACAAATTCAAATAATTCCTTGAGTCTATCATACTAAGGACGTGGTATATTCTTTATCGTACTATTTTTACCTGAGGTATTTCCCTGATATTTCCCATTGTGCATCTGATCCGCAGTTGTGAATGAATCAGTTATACTAATGACTGATGTACAATTAATTTCATCAGGTGAAAATTTATCTAAAATTAAAGAACATTTTACAATGTTTTAATCTATACCGAAAGTATTGTTGCCTGCATGTTTCTGGTTAGACTTTTTTTCATCATGGGTCATATGTGATAGTTGATAGCTGTATAATATTATCCCACTTTTGCAGATCATTTAAATACAATATCTTCAATGAAAACAAAAACGAAGCTTCCAAATAGAGGCGTTAATGAATGCATTGAACACTTCTCCTGACACTTGTAAAACAGTTTTTTTCATAGGGCGATCCAAACGAAGAACAGTTTTCACAGAAGAGGTCCTGATGTAGAACAGTTCGCTCTAGACAGTTCAACACCAGTACAGATTTAGACAAAATTTACACAAGAACAATTTGTACTGTTCTACTCAGACAAACGAAATGTTAAATTTGTACTAAGTGCAGCAATAAGGCAATTTTAGTTTATTTGATATGAACAAACTAAATTTAAGAATAATTGCACAACACCCTTCCTTTACTATCGTATTCCCCTCCTCTTTTACCGTATCATGGAAAATTTTCTGTTATTGCTTGATGTCTGTAACATTATGTATATGCTAGGAATTTACATTTTTTAACATTTTGGCCTCCTATTTTTTTTAGAAAATATAGAATGGCGCAATATAAGTATGCACATAGCAACCAAACAATGGTTTGATCAAAATGCAACCTTATTTATTTTGAGTACAATAAGAAATGTATTTGAAATAAACTCACATGTAATTATTAGCTGTATATGTTCTCTTAATGCTATACTATTTAATGTGTTGTTTGCTGTACAAGTATAGTTCTGAAAATTGTCTTCGTGTTTCGGAATAAACGTGTACTGTAATCTTCCTGGACCCCCGGAGAATACTACTATTCCATTTTTAATCCAAAAAATCGTCTCCCTTGGTGTTCCACTGTTTACATTACACGTAAGTGTCATTTGATGACCTTCAACACCTAATACTCGGTGACCCGAACTTACTTCTGACACGTATATACTAGTAGGGGGTGCTGAAATATAAATTTGATGTATATTAATTAATATGTTTTCTTCACAGTTTGATTATCCGATTACTTATAAGTGTTTTCCCCTTTCCAAAAGAACAGATGCTTCTTTTCTGAGCCTTTGTGACATTTCAATAGCAAACTTTTTGATGTTGTACTATTGTACTGTTCAACATAGTTTTGTTTCTTCGATTGCTTGAAATTCGTTAGCATAATTTCTGCTTTGCATGATATCGAAATCTGTCTATTCCGCTTTACAAAGATTTCGTTCCTAATATTGAAAATTACCGATTGATCTAGTACTAGTAATTGAAAATAGAAGCATGTAACTGTAATTATAATATGTATAATATGCTTTTGGTTGTATGTAGAGAAAACCTACTACTTAATTGTTTTAAACAATCTTCCTTTGTATTCTCAATGCCTAACGCATGTTTCATGTTAACAAAATATTGAAATTGACGAAACTTAGTATACAAACAAAGACTAAAATGTGTTTTTTGGTAGACTAGTTTTTGTTTCTGTTGTGTTTGAATTATTATGGTAGACCCATCTAGTAACTAACTCATTATATAGCAATATACATACTTCTAAATCAGGTCATTTTAATTAGTTGATTCATTTGCCCATTGGTATTTGTATAGTTTATATTGATTATTATAAATTAAAACAATATTTCAAATATAATTCACAGATGCGAGAAATCAAATATTTTATATTCCATACGTACTAGGCATACATATCTTGAAATCTTTAACACGTGGAGAATTTCCACCAATAACGCAACGGTAAGTAGTATTGTAGTCATCGACAGTAACCCGAAGTTGCAAATTGCATGCTTCTGTTAAAAAATGTCTCAAAGAAGGTTTCAATTCATTACAATATACAACAAAACTTCCTTTGTTTACGTTTTCCCAATGATCAATTGCATCGTTTTTACATTGCAAAGTTATGATTTCTCCTTCAGTGGCATATACATCAACTCTGCCATTCTCACTGAAGACTATAAATAAAGATACATCAAGAAAATCAAGATAAATATTGTGTTGACTTTTTATTCATGTCATTTGTTTTCTGTCTCACATTAAATATACATATATAATATGACTCTTTTGGTCTTTTTGAAAATGTTGTTTGGGCTGTATTTAGACTACTCTTAAACAATTTTCTTAGTAGAGGGGTCTAGACACAGCACATATACAAGTTTAAACATGTAATATCTCGTAACAACTTTATGTGTTTACCCATATTTCATTTCTGATGTATGCATCGAATCGGTTATTGAGTTCAATAAATTATTATGATGATTTGTAATTAGTTATTCTTTTACATATGTAAGCCTCAACTTTATGTCCTCTTCTCAAATCTATATCCTATTTTATATTTCGTCATAGACGTCCCCAACTATGTCCTTCCTTTCCCCAAATCTGTGTCCTTTTCAACATGATATGCACTGTACTAGGTTGACTTCATAATTTTCAAAACATCATCGAGAAGATATATTTTGTTGTTGCAAAAACAACAATTACACTTTATGAATGCAACATTTAAGCAGACGAAAAAATAGTTCGATATTAAAACAAGTAACGTTGAAAAAAAGAAGACAGTTCGACGTTAAAAACTAGAACGGATAATGATAACTAACAAAGTTTACAAAATTTTGATAATTCAGGTGATCGGGAAGTGCAATCAAGTCATGTTTTTGGAAACACGCATAAGGACATTATCTACAAAGGGAGAAGGTGTGTCAAAAAACTTGTTGAGACATATATCAGTTTGATCTCCTGGCAGACTTTGCTTGCAGGTGGTTTCAGACATTGCAAAATATGTTAATAAAACCTCTTATATCACAAGGACTGTGGGACACATCTGGACAGATAATTGTATAGTGTGTAGTTAAGGTACAGGACATTGATTTGAGTCCAAACTGTTTAAAAGGACATATATATTTCGAATGACGTAACGACTAAACACATATATGAGGCCATAGTTTTTTTTAAACGGACATAGATGTGTGAGTGACGTAACAGTTGGACACAGACTTGAAAAAAGGACATTGATTGATTTGAGGCTGTACACTGATTTCAGGCTTACATATATATACATTTAAAAAAACGCATAGATGACGGTTTAATCCGGATAACAATCTGCTGTGTCACCCTCTCAGCTATGTGTTATTTCTACATGATTGTTCATCCGCTGTACATTTATATTTAATTTAAATATTCTTGAGTGTTGAAAATTACAAGTTCTTTCATTCAACTTACATTGTGATCAAAGTTACAGGCAAAACCTTGTAATAGTTTGTTTACTATGCACTAGGAAGGAAGATGACTTGTATTGAAAAAAACGTTCGCGTTCATTTTGCTTTTTACATTGGCTTATATAAGGAACCAAATTAAAATCATTAATTAGACTATTTACCGGTTTTGTAAGAACACGATCAACACGACTGGTGCCACATGTGGAGCAGGATCTGCTAACCCTTCCTGGATCACCTGAGAGCACCCCAAGTTTTTGGTGGGGTTCGTGTTGCTTAGTCTTTAGTTTTCTATGTTGTGTCTTTGTGTGCTATTATTTGCCTCTTTGTCTTTTTCTTTAGCCACGACGTTGTCAGTTTATTTTCGATCTAGTAGTTTGAATGTCCCTTTGGTATCTTTCGCCCCTCTTTGAAGGCGTATATGCAAAATTCTCCGCAGGAAAAACTGCGATACAACAACGGCAACAAATGTTTAAATATTGAAATAACTGATTAGAAATATGTGTGTACGAGTTGAATATCTCCGACATTAAATAGTAAAGCAAGGGTAACAAATGTAGATACTAAGTATCGTCATGCTAGATTGTCGAGATGCACAAAATTCATGCATCAGCTGAAATTGAAAACTTTTAAGTTAAGCATTTTTAATACAAACATTTGTAACACCAGAAGAAAAAAAGTTCTAAACATCAACTAACCTTGATTCAAATTATATAAAAGAAATAAACAGCATGTTATCCAATTAACCATATTCGTAACAACTTTACACGTATATTCGTTGTTAGAATCGTCAAGTTTTTTTAATATTGTCAATTATATAAGCATGGTTCCAAATATGGAACTTTACTTCCTACATACATGGATTGTAAATGTTTTAACATTTACCAGTTTCATGATCCAATTTACAAATATAGGAAGTGACATCATATTTTGTTCACATTGTTGAATTATTTGATAATGTTTGATAATCAAAACAAACATAAAAAACATTTTTAAAAAGAAATAAATTATTGCAAAAAATAAGTCAGAAATTACTTTTCAATCTAAAGTGCTTCATTGGTGTTGTATGGTTTTTTCGTAGGATATAACAGCTCACATATTTATACTGTCAAATAAAACTAAAAAAAGAGTTTTTTTGTTTTAATATATTCACCACTTTTGCAAATAAGTTTCTTCCTGAATTATCATGCACGTTGATTTAGGTAGTGAAGTACAATCTTAGTTTTATTTGTATTATTTTTGTGAGATATAAGAGTTAATTTTTTTTTGCTAAACTGACTAACATTGTACATTCGCCTACATGTATATTTATGCAATATATAAACAAGGATGTGTGGTACTATTCCAAATAGGACATCTATTTATACATGCTGAAAGAAAACCAAAATGGCCGTTACTGATCATCGAACTGTCTCCAACAATCAATAGAACGCAAAACAAATAGAAAGCTATAAAAGATTTTTGGCTGATCAAATGAAAACAACATAATTTGAACGAGAAAACCAACGACAAAATGTATACTACAAAGATTACCGAAAAAAAACATATGACAGGCAGCGAACAACAAAAACCATTAGATAACAGGTTTCTTGCTAAGGCAAACATATTATAGTTTTAGATACTTAATTAGTTGTTGGCTTTTTAACTAACTTTTAGTAACTGCATATACTCTCCGATCTGTACTTTGTGTCTGAAGTATTCCTGTGGGTTGTTTTGCGCTTTGTATTGATCTGATGAGTTACTCCCTTTTCAACTGATTGTTATAGTTGTATTTGTTCATGTTGTGCCATTTTACCACTGTTTTCCAAGATAAGGGGGATATTTGGATACCAAATATATGTCTATCCTCGCCACAGAAAATGACAATATGCAAAGATTTAACTTCAAATCTTAATTAACAACCTTTGACATTGAATATATATCATGGAAAAAATAAACAAAGTCCTTTCCATGTGAAGCTTATTCCGGATACTCTATCTGCTAACCTTTTAATTTTCGTGAGAGTTTTGTTTTCTCGGCTTTTGCGAATGTGTAAACTTTCAAAATATAGATACCTTAAGAAAATAGCAAAATCGCAAATATATATCTCTGTTAAGTGATCTTTAGTTGCATGGACATGGAGAAGGGGCTAAATAAACTTACCTTAGATACCAGGATTAAAATTTTGTACGCCATACACGCGTTTCGTTGGCAAGCGACAAATCAGCTATGCTTGAATAAAAAAAAAAGTCATATAAAGTACGAAGTTGAAGAGCATTGACGACACAAAATTTCGAAAGGTTCTGCCAAATAATGTTCAGCTTATCTTTTTTTTTTTAGAAACGTATAGAACAATACGTAGTTTCGTTTTTGATACTGACTATATCATGTGGAATATCCGGACGAGCCCGAAGCGAGCACCTGACTTCACTCAATATTTTGTTTTATTTTTTTTTATATATATATATTATAGGCCAAAATTTAAAAAACGAATTTGTATTGATCACATTTTCCCGCTTTTTTTTTTTAGTGTAACCATAAATGTTAAAATACCACATGCACATATTTACCTCGAGAAACATGGTGATGTGATACTCATTGCATGATTTTGGTGCATAGCTATAGGCTCTAGTGTTTTATGAATTTGTTCCATCCCTGGTCTTTGTCAATCTCTAATTATATGTTAATTTTTTAGTTAGCTTTTGTTCTAAAGCTTGTGTAACATCACCCCATTCCAGCTAACGATGTTCATGGGACCCTCGCAGGCCACAATGTATAGTGGTCAAATACCAAATGACAGCAAGAAGACTGTCTGAGTTTCCAGTTCCGAACACTCCAGAGGAAAACAAGTCTTCTTCCTGATCAGACGCAATGACCTCAGCAGCATAAGGCAGATTACCTATTCCCAGTTCTTTAAAGTGTTTTTTTACTTGGCCAGTAGATAATCCCTAGATTTCTTTAAAGGTAAATATTTCAAAATGTCATGGTAATAATCATTTAAATCTAAAATACCGGTTTACCATCACATGCAAGACTATTGAATACCTGGCTGATTGTTGCTTTCATCAGTCTCATTTTTTGTTTTTTGTTTTCTTATCCCATTGAAAAATTCTTGTAAATATATGTCCATTTCACATGTTTCAGTTGGAAGGATTGTATATCATTCAAAAGCCGTTTAATGGTATTGACGCTGTTCGTCATTTTTCCTCTTTGTGATTTTATTTTCTCTATCACCAAGAAATGATTTTCTTTCTTCCTCATTATTAACAATAAACCTAAATTTAAATATGCTATTTTGCATGGTATGAATGTCATCCAAATATTGTTCCTTTATAATCTTGTCTGTTTGTCTGTTTATAAATGAGTTCATTAAATTTGAAGGATTAAATTCTTTGGAACTTACATCTCGTAGGTCATCATCTCTTTCTTTTAGAATTCTATTTATATTTTTGCAATCCTTCAATAGTGTGGGAAATGTTCTATTAGAATGTTGGTACATGATTTTTGAAATACACATTTTAAACATAATTGTATTTTGATGGCGTAGGTGAGTCGTTTAATTTGTTATGACCAAATTCCGAAACTTTGAAAATTTTCGGGTATCCAAAACTTCACCCTTCATAGACATTGTTTAATTAACTATAATCATATTTCATTTCAATTATTTTAATATAGATTTATATTGGTTTGGAGAACATCATGTCAGTACCTTGATCTGTTCGCGTCTACCGTTTGGTGAAACTTAATGTGTCAGGCCAGTATAAATGAAGAAGGTTAATGAAGGATGGGTGTTTAACGTCCAATGGAAAATTTAATGCATTTATAATAAGATGATGCGATATCAATATAAACCATGCATTGTACTCGACCGACACAATAATTTGTAACGGTAACGGTCCGCAGGAAGGCATGGCACCCTACACGAGCCGACTAGTCTTTGTTTTCACTGTGGTTTATTCGACATTTACTAAATATCACATGAATTTTAGCACATATTTTGGTCTTTTGTCATATGCTGATCCTTTATTTATGTAGTAAGTAAATGTACAAAAGACAGCAAAATGCTTACATAGCAAAACAGTCATGTTGTAATTAATGATTTGAAAGTAAATAAAACCCTCACAATTGTGACAAGCAAAGCGAAGGAACACATTTTGATGTGAAAGAGGCAAAAGAAATTATTGGAATTTTTTGCTGACAACATATTTGCAATGTTAGAAAGATGTGGGTTTGTTTTCAACAAGCAAGCAATGAAAACACAGCGCTTGGTTTAACAAAGATTAAATATTGATTATAAAACAACTGTCAAAAGCTATTTAATATCAATAGCTTTAATAAAGGATCAAAGTCAAACAAAAATCCTCATTCGCCATCCTTCGAGTGTAATGCGTTAATCCGATATCAAATCAACCACTCACAGTCCTATTAATAGATCTGTCTATCGTGTGCTGCAACACAATTTTCTCAGCGCCGAGGCATGCGTGCTTGCGGAAATGTTTGTGCACTCATCCAGCAAAGCAGTCTAAATCTGACACACAAAATGCAAAGTAGCTGCTTGTGGTGGCTCCTTTAGACTCAAATCTGGCGAAAAATCTGATATAATATATATATGGTTACCAAAAGTTGTGGACATTACAAAGACTTCACCAAAAACCGAATTGCGCTTACAAAGTAAATATTAAAGAGAGGCAGAAATTACCAAAGGAATAGACCTACAAATTATAAGGAGAAGCATATGTTTAGGCACAAAATGTTCAAACATGCACATATTGATTTTGTTATCAGTAAATTAAAATCAAACTAAATATTACTATTATGTTATATACATATACACATTCATGGATCTTCAATCTGTCGATACCTGTATCTTGGCATTGCACAATGTCATGTTTTTCTCTGACTGTTTATGACGTCTTTACACTGAATCCATTGGATGTTGGATGTGTACTGATTGATAATTTAGTCTTAGATGCATGATATTTTTATTAGTTGTTAGTGGCTTTGAACTAGCTGTCAGTAACTGCGAGTACTCTCAGATCTGTACTTAGTGTCTTTTTGTTGTTGTGATGTACAAGTACCCGGCCACGTCCACTTGTATTTGTAGTATTAGTATTTTTATCCATCTGATGAGTTAAACCTTTTTCAACTGGTTTTTATAGTACGTTCTTATTTATGGTTATACCACTGTCGCATGTTAGGGGAAGGGTTGGGATCCCGCTAACATGTTTAAAACCGCCACATTCTGTATGTATGTGCCTGTCCCAAGTCAGGAGCCTGTAATTCAGTGGTTGACGTTTGTTTATGTGTTACATATTTGTTTATTGTTCATTTTTTTTTGTACATAAATTAGGCCGTTGGTTTTCTCGTTTGAATTGTTTTACATTGTCATTTCGGGGCCTTTTATAGCTGACTATGCGGTATGGGCTTTGCTCATTGTTGAAGGCCGTACGGTGACCTATAGTTGTTAATTTCTGTGTCATTTGGTCTCTTGTGGAGAGTTGTGTCATTGGCAATCATACCACATCTTCTTTTTTTATATACACATTGTCTACCTTTGCGTATCTAGACTATATGTCTTTCAAGTATAACTATAAAAAATAGCATATAATTTGGTACGAAAAATAAGTTAAAAAGGCTTGCTACTAGAGGAAGCTGGTTAAGGTAGTCATAGCTAATGGTTGGAAAAGTGATTCCCTGTAAAGTAAATGTGTCTTATCTTGCACGCATTTTTCTTTTTTCCCAATATAGGGTTAACATTGTATTTTCAATAATCAAGTTATTATAAAACACCATGTTTTTTTTTTTTAAAACATGTTCCAAAACAATATTATTACTGTTTTGATGCATGTATCGTCATTATGCAGAATCAAATAATGTATATTCGTACTTTTATTTTCGGACAGCTACAATATAATTTCCCTAACTGTGCGAAGTGTGTAAAGTAATTTAAATTGTGGTTACTTGATCAGCTATACATATATATATATACATATCTGATCAAGCAACCACAATTTATCTTAAATATATAAGGTAACACCAGGCCACCGAAAGCCTCATTTTTGTAGAACCTAGGTGGTCGAGTGGTCTAGTGCGTCGGGCATAGTGCAAGGCGATTTGGTGCCACGATATTTCAGTAGCATGAGTTCGAATCCCGGCGAGGGAAGAACAAAAAATTTGAGAAAGCAAATTTACAGATCTAACATTGTTGGGCTGATGTTTAGACGAATTATATATTTATGTATATATATATATATATATATATACAAGTCTTAAAGGGTACAATATCACCAACAAATAATAAATAAATGAACAAATAGATAACAGATATCCTTCATCAGTATGATCACGATGTAAAATGAATCATATCAATCTATCCTGATGTATAAAAATCTTGAAATCTAAAAAATATAACAGTTTTACCCGAACATCATAGATACGCTAGTACAATTCTTAAATTTCCAAACATGACGCAGGTTGTATAGCTATTTACACTAGAGACTGTTATATATCGTGACATATAAAAGCTCTCCATGATTATTTCAATCTACAAACAAGAGACGTATTTTCGAAAAATTTTCTAAATCGCCATGGTATGGTTACACATATATAATAACATCATCATATAGTTTCGATTTTTAATCTAAAACCAACCCAAATATTATATTATATTCCCGATTTTCTAAATATCTTACTGTTTTAAAAGATTATATGATTGGACTTTGAACTTCATACATCTCTGATGTGAGATAGATTTAAAGTATATGAGCCTAGCCGCATTTAAGGTCAAACTTCTATAAATAGCACACGTATAAAGAAATTTTAAATTTTAAAAAACCGAAACTACCTGTTACATTTTATTTCTTGAAAGTTATAGTTTCCTTCTATATATAATTCGCAGTCAATATATGGAACTATTTAACTCAAATGTTTAAATTCAACATTATGCACTACGCAGGTAAGAATAACATATTTATAAAATTGTTTGAAGGACACACAGCTCGGACCATTTTTATTTTATAAAATATGACTGTATAATTGAAACTTACATATCGTATGCAACAACACAAAAGTAAGTGATAACGGAAAAAGCAATAGACATCTGGTACTGCTAAAGCTCAATGTAATTTATTTTGATAGAGTGAGAGAGGAAAAACACAAGGTAATTCATTTTGAAGGAAAATCAACATTAAGGAACTTAACAACGAGAAATTAAAAGTTGTGCTATTTATAAACAATGCTGGAATGAGGATTTTATTGAGAATTACTGGAAATTGGTGTCCTCAAGTTATTTTACAAAGTTTTAATGATTTACACTGCTTCAATAAATAAGTTATTTAGTATATGTAGGCCTATAAAGGAAATAATCAACGATATGGTCATTTATAAAACTGTTTACAAAACCTCGAATTGTAAGAAAGACAGTATTTTTCTAACCCAGGAATTTATTGCCTTGGCTGTAGGTGACATAACCTTACAGAATTTGTAGACCTCAATTTTGTTCGACGTCGAAACTGTTTTGTTTTGAGTGTCTCTTATCATCATTTTGTAGACCAAACGATCGTCTGCATATACAATTATTTTGCTGGAATCTCAATGATTTTTGTTTGCTTTACAAAGCCACCAACTCATTAAATATTTTTTTCGTCAAAAGTCTGGGAAATGATATGTTATATTGATATAAAATAGTACAGTGGTATAAACATGATAAAATGAATTTCAAATTGTTCTATAACTTAAACTTTGTTTGTCGTGACAAAAAAACAAACACTTTCAGACTGAGCATGATAACGGCACACTTCAACTTTTGAAGCATCTATACATCCAGGATACATGGTGAATACGTCAAAGGTGAAGCCGTTGACTCTATGAAAAATCTAAAATGTATTGGCAATAAGCAAATTTGATAATTAGTTTTAGTATTATTCAAAGTTCAATATCCGAGGATTGTTCAACGTTTTGCATGAATTTATGGCGTTTTCAAATCGTTCCTTGACCTTATATGTCATTTTGTTTTAATCTGTAGATAAATATGGAAGGGTGAGTTCGTTGTGTTTAATAATCATAGTTTGTATTTATGTCCATATTTCTGACAATATTCCATTTTTCGTCATGTGTTTCTTTTGTTTGTACCACTTGTAGTGGTAGTATAACTACTGATAAGAGGCTTTCATTTTAGAAATAACTACTGCCATTGTCCTTTAACTTTTATAAACAGGAGACCGCTACAAGAACAAACATTAAAATATAGTATAACAATCTTCATTCTAACACGAATATTGAATGAAATATTGTCAAGAGAAAAAACAATATAACTTAATTTATAATTTATAAAATAATTAAGCATTTAATACTACATATAAAGTAGCATTATAATCCATAATCACTTGCAAAAAGTTCTTTTTAATTTATAACGCTTTTATGTTTATAACCCAGGCTTGCACAGACATTGAAAATTTACTGCTTTTCTGCTCATATCTAAATATGCAATGTACAGTAAAATGTAATAGGTCGCTTGTATTTTGTCAACCTCTGGTGGTGGTGTCAATTCTGAGACTAGGTGTTTGACCGCACAAGGTTAATTTATGGTACTTAAATTAATTGCATGTAAGCATTAGTAGAATGTAATGGGCGACATGCTTTCTTATGATGCATCAGTTTAAGTACTCTGAACTTGATTTCAGTGGTTGTGATCATTTTGTAACACAGAATAATTTGTTATCTATTATAATATTTGTTTTCAGTATTTTTACTATTAAGTATCTTATAACGTCCTTTTAGATCGAAGACTTCTTCTTGTATTTGTTCTAAGTGCACATTCTTGTTTGTACGCTTTTTAAAATCTACTTATAGATATTAAATAGGAAGAGGTATGAGGACAAATGACTAGTTTAATCCACAACATTTCCATATGCATGTCCTAAGTAAGAAACTATGGAAGTTGTCGTGTGTTACTAGTAAAGTCAACAGTAGTATACCGCTGTTCAATAGTCATAAGTCGATAAAGCAAAAACAAAACCTGGTTACAAACTTAAACCGAGGAAAACACTTCATTTATAAGAGGAAAACAACCGAACAACAGATACACTGAACTGCAACAAAAACAATCGCCAACCTAAATAGAAACCGTATATTTGAAAACAACTGCCATATTCCTGTATATTCATAGAAACCTCATCGTAGATACCAGGGTTGAATTTTGAACGCCAGGCACGTGTTTCGTCTGCAAAAGACTCATCAGTGACGCTCAAATCAAACTTCGAGTTGAAAAGACCTAATAAAGTTAAGAGTTGAAAAACAAAATAATTTTAAATTAGAAAAAAAAACTTATATCTGTAACTTCTACCCAGATAAGCATGATTGATGAATACGTTTCAACACCATCTAAAGAGAAAACTGCTATGGAATATCATACGGTCGGGGTAATTAAGAGCTTGGAATAATTCTTTTATAATTCTTAACAATGTCTCGAAAAATACTTGTTTTATCATGTGCTATGAATTTTGGATATATACTAGGACATACAAAGTCAATTTGATAATGTTCATTATTTACACAGAGTACGTTGTATTCTGCAAGTTTCCATTGTTTATATCAATAGCAAACAATATTAATTTCTCAACTAAAAATAAATGTATAGTATTCATTGTTATCATGATAATTATAATGCCCTGGTAATCACGGTCTAAATCGTGTATTATACATGTTATAATTTATCGCAATTATGGCAACTTTTTTCCTCATAGATTTCTATCGTTCAATAGAGAATTGACATTTGTTATAATTTAAAACATTACCATTGCAATGAAACTTTCCATGCAATTTCTAAAAGGTCTTACAGCAACATCTATTTACCATTTTATCAAAACATCTCATGACATGTTTGCATTTTTTGTTATGCAAAAGTGTAAACCTCTTGGAATAATGTCTAAATATTTGAATAGCATTTAAAACTTCCTAATCGATGCGATGTTTTTTCGCAAATAAGTGAAAACATGGTTTAAAAAATAAAACCGTGACAAAAAATACAGTTGTGACGATTGCTTTAACATTTAATAAATATCATTATAAAAACCCGTATAAAAATAAATAAATAAAGTTAAATTATGTGTCAGATATGTGTTTTTGGGGACAACAAAACACTAAATGCAGAATTATGACCAAATGAATGCTATTTCAACTGATCGGGCGGAGCTTATGTTTTAATTTGCATAAGGACAGTCTATTCGAAGATGTGTGTGATAAGGATGATTGCCATTATAATTATTATTGATTTCTAACCACCTATCATTGTCACCAAACGGATACACAACTGTATGTATGGGACAAACAAAATAGTTTCAAACTTATAACATTTTTATGTGCTATATCTAAGCATTGCTATTTGCTTGTCTCGATATAAAAGAATCGGCTGTTGTATTATTCTGTTCAAAAGATTTCTAATTGTGAGATTAATAATAAACGTGTTGTACAAAAATATATATACAAAAAATAAAATATAACACCCTATTTTTCTTTCTTTAAAATTGCCATAATATGCGATTGTAAAAACATCTCGATTTAGGCGTTTATTTTTTTACCGCTTCGTAGATAGCAAATCTGCTAGTTTGGGTTAATCGTAAGAAGGTACATTTCTCTCAGTCAAAATAAATAAAGGGTCTGCCACGTGTCAGCTTTTCAAGTCACTCACAGATTCAGCTACAAACGGCCACTCCAGTAAAAGCCTTTACAGAGAGAACTGCAGAAGCAACCCTGATTAGCGAGGCTGCTATATGGAGATACAGTAAATTTTTTAATGAAAATCTTTCAAGAAAATTCTTCTCGATTAATCAATAAGGGACTTCAATAAGATTCGTTTGCAACTTATCTCTGTGTCCCCCGGTCACTAACCACTAACCATACAAAAAAATAATTAGGAATAAATGGAAGAACAAATGTATATAAAAGCTTTAAGAATTTATACCTTATGCATATTTTGCAACTGCCGTGTCGTCATAGTTATACTTTCATATCCACAATTTTCAAAATGCGACAATTATTGCATGTTTTTAAACTCCAGTTGAAAAGAAAATAAACGACTGTGTCTCATTTTTTACTTTTAGAATACATATTCAGTGTTTAAATATTTTAACCGGTTCAATGACCATATCTGGAAACTTCATTAATGAGTTTATCCAAAAACACCTTTCTATCTGGTCTATGATGAGCGAACCGTTTAAAACCTGCCTAGTCAAGTAAAATAAATCGAGTAATAATGTTTTTTGAATGTTCGACCAATTTCAACAAATAGATAAGAAACCAGAAACCAGAAGGCAAGATAATGGATAATGAGCACAGTTGGGTCCATAATATTTCACGCAATGTCATTATGTCATGCTATCATACAACCACTCGTGAATCAAAGTATCAGATAAAAGAAAGTAGATGCTTAACATACTAAGTATCCGGAAACACACTTATCACTTATAAGCTGCGACCTTCAGCAGTACTTGAAACAAGTTTGACGAAAGTGTTTAGTTTGTTTAACATATTGAAAATTCAAAGTATTTTAAAACAGGAAAAAGGGGTCCGACAAATCCAAAATTTGTTTACTAATTTAAGCTTGTTACTTCCAAGTTTTTGATCGAATACAAAATTATTTATTTAATTACTAGTAGTAGTTTAGAACAGTATGCCGGAAGTATTTGATGGAAAATTGACTGACCTGCGAACAAACAGATAGACTGACTTACGTACAATGTGAATGTAGTATTGCCCCTCTTAGTCTGTTTAAAAATCAAGCCCACAAAATGAAACAAATAACAAAACACATAACATCTTAATAATGTCAGTTTAAGTGATCCTTTTGTTTGAAATAGTATTGTTTACAGAGTATAACTAACGTATCTTCTTAAACACGATAATTTGTGTCTATGAAGGCCATCCTTTGTAAGAGCCGCCATACAAAATAAACAGTATACAAAACACTACCTAAAACTAATGAAAGACAATAAATGAGCCCAAACAAAGGGGTATCTTATGTGTTATAGGAAGGGAACACAGATCTACCATGACAGAGATGTGGCAACCATCGGTAGTTAACAATGAACTCGTTATAACATCCACTGACATTTCAGTACACATTTATTATGTTTTGAGGGTTAAAAAAATTGCCTATTAGTATGAACATCTATATAACGTGGTTCACTAAAATTAGTCCTTCAATATGTATAGAAATTCAAAATCCCTTTCTAAAAGATAGAGACGTTAAATGATTTTGATATTGTGAAACAAATTGTATAAAGTTAGAGATTGCATGTTAGTTTCGTAAGCGCGTCATTGTTTTTGATATGCTGTGGGTTTTTTCGTTGGTAGAATATCTTCGTTGTTGTTCTTTGGTTTGCATGTTGTGCTGACTCTTACATTATTTGTTGATGCTTTTCTCTGTTATGAATGTTCTTGCGTGTGTTTGTGCTGTATTTCTGTCGCGTAGAGTTTTTTAGCAATATTTTTAATACTGCCGGAGGTTAGGCATGCCATTAAACCAGGTTTACCCCACCATTTTTTTTAAATGTTCTGTACCAAGGTGCACTTAGGTGTTCCTGCTTTTTCCTTTGTTTTCCTCTTATGGTTGATGTGTTTCCCTCGGTTTTAGTTTGTTACCCGGATTTGTTTTCTCTCAATCGATTTCTGACTTTTGAACACCGGTATGCATGTATACTGCTGTACTTTTATCTATTCTATTGCACAATAAGAGGAACCTAGAGTGTACGTACTCTAATATAGATTTGGATTTTATTAGAATCGGGAGCTGTTTTTGAACATTGAACGTTTTTCTTTACACCTTTCATCTATAAATGTCAGTTTTACATAAAAGTAAAATCACAAAAATTCTGAACTCCAAGGAAAATTCACAACGGAAAGTCCCTAATCAAATGGAAAAAATTAAAATCTTAATCACATCAAACGAATGGATAACTGTCATATTCCTGACTTTGGTACAGGCATTTTCTTATGTAGAAAATGGTAGATTAAACGCATGACTAATTTAAATGGATAGTCACATGACGCAAATGAAGAGAAATCACCTGTTTGTAAGGTTTACATTACTTTGAAAAATCAACAAAATTAGCACACTTCTTTTAATTTTTCTAGGTTATGGAATATATATACTGGATTTATATTCTATTTGTTTTGTTCCGTACCAACACAGGAATCAGGTAAAATATATTCAATATTTCTTAAGTAAATATAGAAAAATAGATGTGGTATGATTGCCAATCAGACAACTCTCAACAAGAGACCAAATGACAAAGTAATTAACAACTATAGGTCACTGTACGGCCTTCAACAATGAGCAAAGCCCACACCGCATAGTAAGCTATAAAATGCCCCGAAAGGACAAATGTAAAACAATTCAAACGAGAAATCTAACGGCCTAATTTATGTACAAAAAATGAACGTAAAACAAATATGTAATACATCAACAACCGACAACCACTGAATAACAGGCTGTTGACTTTGGACAGGCATATACATACAGAATGTGGCGGGGTTTGACATGTTGGCGGGATCCCAACCTGGGACAGTGGTGTAACAGAACAATATAAGAACGAACTATAAAAATCAATTGAACAAGGCTGAACTCATCAGATGGATACAAATAGAAATAAATCTAACAAAAAACACAGTGGACGTGGCCGGGTACTTGTATATCCCAACAACAAAAAGACACTTAGTACTGATCTGTGAGTACTCGCAGTTACTGACAGCTAGTTCAAAGCCACTAACAAATAATAAAAAAAAATCATGCATCAAAGACTAAATTATCAATCAGTACACATCCAACATCCAATGGATTTAGTATAAAGATGTCAGAAAAAGTCAGAAAAAAACTTCGACTTTGTGCAATGCCAAGATACAGGTATCGACAGATTGTAGATCCATGATTGTGTATATGTATATAACAATAATATTAATTTGCTTTAAATTTACTGATAACAAAATCAATATTAATACCCTAAAAAATAAACAATATTCAATTATCATATTACAGTGTTGAATTGGTAACCTTTTAGAATAAGTTTATTTAAAGGATCGATAAGTTTACCAGGATCATTTCTAATTTCCGGGCTGGTAAACAACATTTCCGTAAAAGTGAGGATGTGCTATCCCGTTTGAAATAAGTTTTCTTCAGGTACAACGAAACTTCAAAACCAAATCTTTATATCTATGGACGAATTTAGTATAGGTTTAAAGTAATTTGTGGTAACGATACCCCTGACCTAATAATTTACCAGTAACACATAGATTACGTTCGTTTAAATCAATAACGTCACAACAGACACGGGCATAGCGAACTAGTTGTGAATTATTAAATTTTTATACGCATCAGACAATCCATTGTTAGGTTGCAGACCCGGAATGGGTAAATTTTAGGAAATTTTGCAGTTTATGGTTATTATCTTGAATATCATAATAGATAGATAATAAAAATTGTTCAGCAAAGTGAGATCTACAGATAAGTCAACAGGACCAAAATTGCCAATTGACCACTTCAGGAGTTATTGCCCTTTAAAGTAACTTTTTCACAATTTTTCGTACCTTTTTGTTATCTTTTACAAAAATCTCTTCATCTGAAACTACTAAGCCAAGTTAAGTTATACTTGACCTAAATCATCCTAAGGGTATTTAGTTTAAAATATGTATCTGGTGATTCTGCCAATCTACTTGATGGCCGCCATGGCTAAAAAAGAACATAGGGCTAAAATGCTGTTTTAGACTTTGATCTCTGAAACTAAAGCGTTAGAACAATCTTACAATATATAAAAATGTTCAACATGTCAAGATCTATCGGCCCTGAAGTTTTCAGACGCATCAGACAACCCGTTGTTGGGCTGTTGTCCCTGAATTGGTAATTTTAAAGAAAATTCGGGAATTTTTTGTTATTATCTTGAATATAATAATAGATAGAGATATATTGTAAACAGCAAACATATTTAGCAAAGTAAGCTCTACAAAAAGGTCACATTGTCAAAATTGTCAATTGACCTCTTCAGGGGTTATTGCCCTTTAAAGTTAATTTTTCACCATTTTTCGTTTTTTTTTTTGTAATCTTTTACAAAAATCGCTTCCTCTAAAACTTCGTAGCCAAGTTCAACCAAACCTTAATCATCCTAAGCTGTTTTCTGCTCTCTAGTCGGGTTGTTGTCTTTTTGACACATTCCCCATTTCCATTCCCAATTTTATTTGACTTTGATCTCTGAAACTAAAGCATTTAAAGCAATCTTGCAATTGATAAAAATTTTCATCAGGTATATCTGCCCTAAAAATTTCAGACGAATCAGACAACCCCTTGTTGGGTTACTGCTCCTGAATTGGTATTTTTTAAAGAAATTTTGCAGCTTTTGGTTATTATCTTGAGTTTTATAATAGATAAAGAAAGATCTACAAATAAGTAAAGATGACCAAAATTGTCAATTAACCCCTTAAGGTGTTATTTCCCTTTAAAGTAAATTTTTCACAATGTTTTGACATTTTTGTAATCTTTAACAAAAATCTTATCCTTTCAGAAACAACAGTAGATACAGGTGATCGACACAGGCTCTTGAGAGCATCTAGTTTTATTTCATACTGCCTTTATAATTTTATTAATTAAAGTTGCCTTTTTTATATGTAGTCATTTGGAAGATTTTAACAGTTCCTATAGTATTTGGTGAAGATGTAAACATTAAGTGTATTGTATCAGCTGGTGCATGTCATATCAACCAAACAAGACAATGGACAGGTGGAAAAGGATACAAGTTGCTTGCTTTGAATGGGCATACAACAGATGACTCTAAATATGAGATGAAAATACACACTTCAGACCTAAGCTTTGACCTAACTGTGAAAAACTTTTCCGCAGATGATGCTTTTAGCGAATACACATGTTTATGTGGAAAAGAACAATTTCGAGACATGCTGATGTTAAATAAAACTGAGAATATACGTAAGTGTTTTAAAACTATAAATATGACGTTTTACGTTCTCGAACATCATAGGCATGCGTTGATATTTTAATTCAAAATAGAAAAATACCGAGATGAGAATAACAGTAGATTTAGGTTATAAAACATTTCGTGAACCATATCTAAAACAAAGTTTAAGACTTACAAATGCTAGAGATTCCTGATTTAGGATAGTTGCAAAAATGCGACGGGATTAAATTTTCATAATGTTGGAAATAAACAGATTCATGAGGTTCCCATCAAAACAGGTCAAAAAAATTACAAAATATGTCAAAAGCATGTAGCTAATATTTGTACGAGGAAAGAAGTAAATAACAAAGCATACCTAGGACATGAAAAGTTAGGAATAATGATCTTACTCACAACGAAGATAGAATATCGGTTAAAAGTCCGTTGACTATAGATACTCAAGAGTTGATTATAACATAGCATATGTTGCTTAGTCTATTATTACAGATAATCTTTTCTTTTATTCTAGGTATGCCTTCATACGACGATATTCATGACAACAGCTATGTCAAAGATATGAAACTATATCTAAATGTGACACTAATGAAAATGCATCCTTTACCAAATTGTTCTTTGCAATATAATGTAAGTATTCTGTTCCACATAATATGGAAAAAGATGCGGTACCATAATTGCCTTTGACACGACTATTCCCAAAAGACAACATAGATCTGAGATACATGTAGGCATCTATAGGTAAATGTATAGGTCTGCGAACGGCATTCAACAATATGCAAATCCAATACACGCTACCGAACATTTCAAACATCAAAACCGAAAACCTAAAATGAATTAATAGATAAGAAGAAATATGACTTAATCGCACTATCCTGTTTAAGTATTGTCACATATTCAAGCGCTTCCGTAGGCATACAGAATCATTAAGAAAGGACTTCACTAAGACTGGATTAGAACAAAAACAACTAAAAAAGAAAAAAATGAAAGACACAAAGTACCGATCTATGAATACATGTACCTGCAGATACTGAAAACTTCCTCAAAGCCAATAAAAAAAAACCTTTGTTTTATTAATTTTGTATTGACATTGTGTCATAGATCACATTTGTACGTTCATTATATGTTCACCTTTTTTTGTAAATATGTCTTTTGATTGAGTTAAGCCATTTCAATTGATGTTTTATAGTTTGTCTTTCTATTTGTGATGTGACACTATTACTTCGGATTGGGTGAAGTTTGGTGCCATTTTAAACGTTTAAACCCGCTGCATTGATTGCACCTGTCTTTAGTCAGAAACCTGATGTTAAGTATTTGTCGTTTGTTGATGTGGTTCATAAGCGTTTCTCGTTTCTCGTTTTTTTATATAGATTAGACCGTTGGATTTCCCGTTTGAATGGTTTTACACTAGTCATTTTGGGGGCCCTTTATAGCTTTGTGTTTGGTGTGAGCCAAGACTCCGTGTTGACCTATATTGTTTTACTTTAACAAATTGAGACTTGGATGGAGAATTGTCACATTGGCACTCATACCACATCTTCTTATATCTATTATGAATAAATCATTCAGTTCACTAAATTGTATTGCTGTTGCCTCTTTTACGTCTGGCGCAAATAGATAATTTCAATCCTGGTATCTATGATAAGTTTATTTACAACCACTGGTCGATGTCACTGCTGGCGGAGTGTTTATTTCCCGAAGGTATCACCAGCCCAGTAGTCAGCACTTCTGTGTTGACATGGATTATCATTGATATGGTCATTTTTATAAATTAACTGTTTACAAAACTCTAAATTTTTGAAATACTTTGGCTTTTCTACCTCAGGAATAGATTTCCTTAGCTGTATTTGGCAAAACTTTTAGTAACTTTTGGTCCTCAATGCTCTTCAACTTCGTACTTTATCTGGCCTTTTTAACTTTTTTTTTATTTGAGCGTCACTGGTGAGTCTTTTGTAGGCGAAACGCGCGTCTGGCGCATATAGAAAATTTCAATCCTGGTATCTATGATGAGTTTATTTAGAGGAAATAAAAGTATTCATTGTAAAAACTGTCTCCCAAAATTCTACCTTAAATATAATTGATCATAATTCTGAAGATTTCTTTTACAGGATGAAACTAAAATGCTTAAAACAAGTTCTTTTAAAAAGGGACTTCACACATATGACATAATTATATATAATGAAACTATAAGTTTGTTCAACTTATGCAGTATAACTTGGTTTGTCAACTGCATTGTTGGAGAGAAGAGCTTTCAAACAAATCACAAGACAGATAAATGTGGAACTAATAGTGGTAAGATCTGCTTTACAATTTTATAATCGTATCGTGAAAATAATATTTATCATTGAATATTATTTAACTGTTATAAGTTATCATACTAGTATTTTGTTGGTTTGAATTCTTAACTATCACACACGTATATATAATTTCAATCTTTGATCTAGGGCTAATTGAAATCGATATCGTTTGATTTTGGATTTTTCTTTCTGCAACTGCTTTAACAGTTTAAATAAATTAATAGAACTTCACACTTGCAATATATTACAATATGAATATAAAACGAGATCAACTCCAGTAAGGAAAAAAGGCAAAAAGTTACCAAGGGGACATTCGAAACTCATACTTTGTAAAAAAAATCAGTCTGATTCAAACAAAAAATTCTCTGAAACTGACATTATCAAGATGCTTGATTTCTTGATTGACAAGTTATTTTACGTTTGGAGGACGTGTTTTTCATCATGGAAACTAATTGTGCCCCTCTTCTTGCCGACTTGTTCCTTTATTCTTATGAGGCTAACTTCATACAGGAACTTCTTAGGAAGAAAGAAATGAAGTTTGCAATATCCTTTAACTTTACTTTCTGCTATATAGATGATGTTCTCTCACTAAATGATTCAAAATTTTGTGACTATGTTGACCTCATATATCCCATAAAACCACACTTAAAGGATACAACAGATACAGTTAGGTCTGCCTCATATCTTGACTTACATTTATAAATTGACAATGAGGTTCGGTTGAAAACAAAACTTTACGACAAACGAGATGATTTCAGCTTCCCAATTTTGAACTTTCCATTCCTATGTAGCAACATTCCAGCAGACCCTGCATACGGAGTATATATCTCCCAATTGATACGATAATTTCGGGATTGTATTTCCTTGATAGAGGGTTACTGCTCACAAGGAAGCTATAAAACCAAAATTTCCAAATGATGAAGTTGAAAGCATCCCTTCATACATTTTACGGACGCCTTCACGAATTGGTTGGATGTTATGGAATATCCGTTTTACAGATGATATTGGATATGTTCCTTATGTCGTAACTGCAATCCCGTTCCCTTTTCACGAATGTTTCCTACCGAATAAGACCATTTACCGGATTTGTAGTAACATGGGCAGAGCAACACGACAAGTGCTACATGTGGAGCAGTATCTGTTTACCCTTCCGGAGAACTTGAGATCACCCCCAGTTTTAAGTGGGGTTCGTGTTGCTTAGTCTTTCGTTTTCTTTATTGTGTCTTGTGAACTATCATTTGTCTGTTTGTCTTTTTCTTTTTTTAGCCATGGCGTTGTCAGTTTATTTTCGATTTATGAGTTTGACTGTCCCTCTGATATCTTTTGCCCCTCTTCTATAAAGCCGCGTACGTGCGATAATTCTTTTGATATGTTTGATTCATTGTTGTTGTTTTACCTATATGTCATCCCTTTTAGCTATATCATAATGACCGGTGGGCCTCCATCTTTCATAGGTCTTGACGAAACGGAAATCGCCATGAGAAAATAACAAAAAGACAAGAAAAGTCGACAAAACTCTAAACAGAAAACTAAAGATTTAATTTAGCTAAAAACCTGGACAGATCACATTAGCAGACTGTTCACTCCGTCATCTTCTTTTAAATATGTTTATAAGTTATACCCAGTGATTAAAAATTCAGAATATCACATTAGCGGATTGGTAATTGACAGTGACCGATCTTACCCTAAAACGTCACCACATTAGGAAACAATAAGTCATTTATATCGTAAATCTGAAATGGATGAGAAATTTCGAAATTTCGAAATTGAAACAGACTGTCAGGACAAAGGATACATAAGACTTATTATCTTGTTTGTTCAAATACATGCACTTTTCTCGCTGATATTTAGTTTTCCTTTTTGATTTTTGATATTTCATGTATCGTGTTTGTTTTTTGTATGTAATTAACAGAATTAATGGTTTCATATCAAAATATCACTCGAGAAAAACAATAAGACGTTCATTAAACGGCGGAAGAGGATATACATTATTTAAGTAGAAATTGTGACAGAGGTGTGTGCGCCATAATATAAAAACAACTTATTGTATTCACTCGAGAAATCTTTCTTACACGACAGGTGCCACATGTGAAGCAGGATCTGCTTACCCTTCCGGAGCACCTAAGATCACCCCCAGTATTTGGTGGGTTCGTGTTGCTTAGTCCTCAGTTTTCTATGTTGTGTCTTGTGTACTTTTATTTGTCTGTTTGTCTTTTTATTTTTTAGCCATGGCGTTGTCAGTTTATTTTCGATCTATGAGATTGACTGTCCCTCTGGTATCTTTCAACCCTCTTTCTAACATAGTGTTAATAAAACAGGTTTGTTTGATTAGCTCCCTTTACAAAAATCGTAATATAATGTTTTTCTGACGATTCCCAGAGGTGGAGTAGCCAACAATTTGACAAAACGTGTTACAAGAAGCTCAAAATAATAATTTACATATTTCGGTATGTTGGGAAAGTAACATCGAAGACATAGTTTTATTAAGAAAAATCCGAATTTAAATAAAATCTACTTGTGTTGTTTTTTACAATAATGTCATTGTTTTCATAAATTGTGAACTTTCCATTTCTATGTAGCAACATTCCAGCAGCGCCTGCATACGGATTATATATCTCCCAATTGATACGATATTCCCGGGCTGGTATTTCCTATCATGATTTCCTTGATAGAGGGTTGCTGCTCACAAGGACGCTATTAAACCAAGAGTTCCAAATGGTGAAGTTGAAATCATCCCTTCGTTAATTTTACGGACGCCATCGCGAGTTGGTTGACCGTTATGGAATAACCGTTTCACAGATGATATCGGATATGTTCCTTATGTCGTAACTACAATACCCTTCCCTTTTCACGAATGTGACCTACCGAGTTAGACTATTTACCGGATTTGTAATAACATAAGTAACACTACGGAAGCCACATGTGGAGCAGGATCTGCTTACCCTTCCGGAGCACCTGAGATCACCCCCGGTTTTTTATGGGGTTCGTGTTGCTTAGTCTTTAGTTTTCTATGTTGTGTCTTGTGTACCATTATTTGTCTGTTTGTCTTTTTATTTTTTAGCCATGGCGTTGTCAGTTTATTTTCAATCTATGAGTTTGACTGTCCCTCTGGTATCTTTCGCCCCTCTTTCAAAGAAATGCGTCGGTTAACTATTTTATACTATATCTATTGGTGTAAATGACATCATAAAACAACCGACTTTTTTCCGCGGCGTAATTACAAACGCAATGTGACATCGGAAATATACGTGCGATTGCACGAATGTGAAAGTAGTCTATAACTTAATGAATATTGCTGGACATTAACTGGTGTTTTATAATGGAAGCACATAGAAACTTAAACAACTAACATCAGAATGGCGATGCAAAATCACGAATGGGAAGCAAAGAAAAGTAGCTTGTGGTCGTTTAAAGTTCGATTATCAATAACGTAATAATAGAAAGGAACCCTTGTTAAGGCGATTAGAAAAAAACCTTTAATAGTATTTTCGTTTTTTACAGATACGAACATTAGGAATTTAGCAATTGGAATTTCCGCTGCTACATTTACATGTATATTGGTTTTCGGGTTATTTGTATATCTAAAAAGAGAATACTGTTTTAGACGTAAGTACTCTTTATTCAGAAAGTAGGAAAATAACATTTTTGAAGATGATGTTTGTGCTTAAAGAATCAACATGTGAATTATTATCAACGTTTTATAATTATACTTTGAATAGACTTATCAAATATACCAGGGTTTAATTGTATACGTCAGACGCGTTTCATCTACAAAAGATTCATCAGTGACACTCGAATATAACAAAAGTTACAGGTTTCAAATAAAGCAAGAAATGGAAGAGCATTGAGGACCCAAAATTCCAAAACGGTTTATGGTTCAAGACACAATTCTGTTTTAGACGTAATAGATTTGTAACAGACACAAAAAGTTTATATAATTTCAACAGTTTGGAGTTTCAATCTTTGTGTGTAGCCCTGTATTGTTACTCCCTAAATTACAAACATTACACTCACGTAAATATGTCGTTTAAGGTAATGCTAACACAGAAGGAAAAGAACAGCAGTCAAGCGCAACTACTTCACGACAAGAGGAAGACGTACTCATGTTGACAACTTCCTAACTTTAGACTCTTAAGAATATTTCTGTTAATTAAATATGCAAGTTGTTTGGGATTACAAAAACGTAACCACTATGAGTTTGAGTGGAAATAAGTGTTGCCATAATGACATGATTACTGCATGCTGAAAAGCATCATTGCCTGCTGGTTTATTTTTTTTTTTTTTTTTTTTTTTTGTCAAATAAATTTACACATTTTTCATCAAAAGTCTATTGAAATAATTGAAATATAATTTCATAAAATTAAATGGTCAATAAAGACTCTTCATGAAACTTTTCCGTTAATTGTACAGCAATTACTATTCAACTTTTATATACAATTTCAGTGTTCATTGTGTTTGGACTTTTGGTTTTGCCATTTGATTACGGACTTTACTTTTTGAATTTTCCTCGGAGATCGGTATTTTTGTGATTTTACTTTTTTCATTCAAAACTTATAGTTAGTTTATGGAAGAAATCATATTTTCATTATTTTTTATATTTTTGTTACAATTTTTGTGTCGTTCATTAGGCAGCAGGAATCCTCTTAGCGCCTTTCAGTCATTAAATTTCATTCACGTTTCATTTACGCTACTGTAACATACTACATGTGCTCAATCGTTATACATGGAAATGTGTGTAATACCATGAAGTAGGTTTTAAAATAGCAATATTGGATATTTATTATATTAAAGTGAATTTTTTTATTTTAATTTATTAATTTACTTCGAGCTGTAGTACTAAGAAAAAATTACCACAACAAGTAAATATACAAGGTTGTATGAAGAAGAATTGAGACTGGCTTTGTACAGTTAAAATGTTGGAAATAAAGATAATTTGAATGATTGTTGACATTGTAAAGCTTCTCTTGAAATGTGATTATAATACACTGAAATTTATCTGATATCAATAACTCGTAGAAATATTAATGCAGGCTAGTCATCATTATTCCTTTCTGGTTTTCTTTAAAATAAGAATATCTATGAAAGCAATAATAAAAAGTTCAATAAAAAACTGTCTAAAATTAAAGAGAAATCAACATACAAGCAAAATAAAGCAAAACAAATCAACACTAGACAAGATAATAAATACAAATCAAACGAAATACAAAATCCAATTGAGAGTGACAGTTTTACGAAATAGTTATTTTAAAATGTGACAACAAATAATAGCAACAGAAACAAAAATGGGGCAAATGTAATTGAATTCATTTAATATTTATATTAAACTAAAAAAAAAGTCGGGCTTCTTTTCAGATTTAGAATATCTATTTCCAATAAAAACCTGTAAAACAAAAGGTGCATTCACCCACAAAAATGCATGTCGTCACAATATAAAGGAATGGCAAATTTATTTTTTACTCACGGAAATTTTAAACAATTCGGATTAAAAACAAAATAAGAGGTATGGCATTTTATGGTAACGATTCTGAAAAAGTGTCATTCAATTCTGAAAAAGAAGGTGAAAAGATTCTGGGAAAGTTTCACTAAATTATTTGCAACTATATTCATTCAAAACGACTGTCCTTTTGTTCAGAATATTAAGATAAACATTGCAAATCGATCGTATGTTTTAGAAGTTATCGTTTCTTTTGAATTTGATAATATTAGTAAAAATAAGATGTGGTATGATTGCTAATTAACAACTTCACGAGTGACCAAATAACACAGGAATTAACAACTATAGGTCACCTTACGTCTTTCAATAATAATGAGCAAAGCCCATACCGCAAAGTCAGCTATAAAAAGCTCCAAAATGACAAATATATAACAAGAAAACAAGAAAACTAACGGCCTTATCTATGTACAAAATAATGAACAAAAAACAAATATGTAACACAGCAACAATACATAGATTAGTAATACATAGATTACGTTCATTCATCCAAAAACGTCACTACAGACACGAGCAAAGCGAACGATTTCGGATATATATACAGCGTAAGACGGTGCCAAAGGAACATCATCCAAAAAGGAAAATTAACTATTGGGAAAGAAAAATTTTGTGTAGAGTTTCTGGTGTAATACTGAAATATCTAAATCTAGGAAAGGACAATTATTGATGTTAATACTTAATATTGTATCGGGTTAAATGATAGTCTGTAGACTTCGGAGGTCTCCTCGATGCTTAATTAGATAGCGTGTAGACTAAAATACACAATACATGAAGGTGTAGAGTTTCCCGTGTAAAACTGATATATCTTAATCTAGGAAAAGACAGTTAGAACCGTTTATATTTGATTGATTTAAAGTAAGTTTCTTTGAGTAAATTAGAAATTTGGCGGATTAAACATGTTTGTTTGTATTTTACATTGAACGGTTACAAATAGCAGTAGTTTAGTTATAAATTGTTTTCTTTTTTTATTTTAAATCAAGACAGACAAACTACGGATACGGCTTTGCGTATCTTAAATCCACTTTCTCGGTTTTTTCTCGAAATTAAGGGATTTTCATCAGAAATTCAATGTTTAGAATTTTTGTCAGGCATACATTACGAATTTCATTAAGTCGTATCCTTCATGAGGATTTAGGTAACTTTTGTTGATTTCTTATTGAGTTTTTGAGCACTCATTTATACATCAATTAACACCTTTATAAACATAAGTTGGAAAGGAATCATTTCCTTGGACATGATATATCGAGAATAAGGCGTTTCCTTATACTTTTCTCGATATGATTTTATAAGATAGTAGAAAGATGTCATGTATTCAAGAGCAGTAGCGAAGACAAACGTGATACATAAGGACGAACGGGTGAACGGTAAGAGATTCCGGTCACATTAAACAAAAACTAAAATTTATTTCCAATATTTATACAATTTGTTGGAACTATTTTGAATCGAGCACGACTGATCAGTCTTGTGTAGATGTTACGTGAGTACTTTACATATAAAAATAAGAATATGTGGTATGATTGCCAACGCGACAACTCTTCACCAGAGACCAAATGCTAAATGAAGTAAGCAACTATAATTCACCGTATGGTCTTCAATCATGAGTAAAACCTATACCGCAAAGCAAGTTATAAACGGCCAAAAAGACAAATGCAAAATAATTCAAACGAAAATATAAACGGCCGGATTTATGTATAAAACAATAAATGAAAATCCAATATGATATACAACGTATATCAACAAACGACAACCACTGAATAACAGGTACCTGACTTGGGACAGACACATACAGAATTTGGTTGCTTAAACATTTTTGCGGGCGCCCAACCATCCTATAACCTGAAATAATGAGGTAACAGCTCAACATGAGAACAAACTATAAAAATCTACAACTAGAAACATATTCAACCTTGTCAAATTTTATATGAGCATCCAATTCAGTTTTTAGCATTGATAACAGTAGGTGTCATATTAGCTTTTCCTTAGCTGGTTGTTTTTTACATTTTGTCATGTCGGGGCCTTTTATAGCTGACGTGTAAGTTTTGATCATTGTTAAAGGTCGTACGTTGTCCAATTATTGCTTATAAATCCCTTTAGTGATCTGTTGGATAATTGTCTCATTGGCAATCACACCACATTTCACTTTTTATATCATTTGTATTTTGTATTAGAAGGAATTTACTCTCTGAACGATGTATATTATATAATTATAATTTCATTCGTTTAAACGGGCAGTGCATTAGAATGAAATTAATTTCTCCTGGGTGTTTTAATCATATGTAGCATAGAGGGCGTTAGGTTTTCCCGCTTCAAAATTATTTTCGCGGTGTTTTATTTTCAATGTAATCATTCAGAACGACACCGTCAATCTTAACAGTGGATTTTTTTCTTGGTCCGCTGCAATCTTGAATTTCTCAATGGATCCAGAGACTCCAACCCCACTTGAAGGATCTCCTGATGTTTCATTACAGGACATTCTCAGAGTTGTTAAACAACAAGGTGACATTAACCATAAACTCCACCAGGAGTTCATTGATTTAAAAAATGAGGTTCAAGGATTTACTTTAACTGTCGCTTCGCAGGTTAAAAACTCAAAGTTGAAATTGAATATCACTGGAAATATGAGGGTAATAAAGTAGAGCATACACTTAATACTGAATTGTTAGAAGACCTTAATCAAGTAATTTGGGCTATTGAACATTGTAAATCAGACTACGCACGTGAAACCATTGTTGATGTTATTGACAAGCTTAAAATACGCAACAAATTAATTAGGATTGATGATAGCAGTGACGGTGTTTGAGATACTGTAAGGCAGTATGAGACAAACCCGGTTGCAAGTGATACCGAGGTTGAAAACAAATTAATCAAAGCAGAAATTATACCTATTAAAAAGCTCAAATTCAAGGCGTCTAAAAATGTTAAATAATTCTGCTCAGAATGCACCTACTATTCCAGCAAAATTCCAACAGCAGCCTTTCGGGAACCTCAGCCCGGTTGTTTTGCAGTAGTCCCGTTATATTCTAACATGCCCAGTACGAGCGGAAATCAGTCTAAATTTCTACAAGGAGCCTGTTATGGTTGCGGATCTAACCAACACTGGAGAAATAGATGCCCATTTAACCCAAAAGCAGTCGACAAGCTAAAAACGGAAAGATTTCATAAAAGATGAGTATTTAAATATTTCTATTGATAGTCAATCGAGTGCGCACTATCTTACACACGACTATTTTGAATATGAACAAGGTCGGGCTAAAATTATCGTCAACGGTTGATTAAAGAGACATAATGATTTTTGGTATAGCATTGGTTTTTATGATTCCATTATTGATACTATTTTACATGGATATAAAATACCTGTTTATACTGCACCGCCTTCCATTTGCTTAAATAACAATCGTTCTGCTATTACACATGTTGATTTTGTTTTAGAAGCTTTTGAAGATCTTTTGGTTAGAGGACTAATTACAGTGGCGGATCCAGAAATTTTCATAAGGGGGGAGCACTGACTGCCTAAGAGGGGGCCGCTCCAGTCATGTTTCAGTGATTCCCTATATAGTCAACCAAATTTTTCCCACAAAAAGGGGGCAGGGCACCCTAGGCCCCCTCTGAAACCTGTCTCGGTTCAAAACAATGGTAAAAAGCGTTAAATTTTAGATCTACGTCATGTCAATTTACAACTGCGAAAGACATCTGTGAAATTTGAAGATACCCGTGTACCTATGCAATTTATCAAAAAAGAAAATGTTATTGTTTTAAGTTTGACATACATTCAGCTTATCACCATATAGACATATACGAGCCGCATACTGATTACCTTGGTTTTTCCTGGACATATGATGAAAGTGCAAAATATTTTAAATTTCTCGTTCTCCCTTTTGGATTAAGTTCTGCCTGTTACATAATTACTAAGGTTACCAGGCCACTAATTAAAACATGGAGAGGTGAAGGTAGACAAATTCTTATGTATTCAGATGATGGATGTCGTACCCATTCTGATATTAACGCGTGTACAGATATTGCCGCACTTATTGATAATGGTTTTGTACCTAAGGTTGAAAAATCCATGTGTTCTCCCAGTAAACCATTTAAATATTTAGGTAATTTCATTGATACAGACAAAGCTACCTTGAGCATACCAGTTGAGAGACTGTCAAAACTGTTTGTCGCCATAATACAAATTGAACTGTCTTTTAAAAATTTAGGTAAAGTTTATGTGAGAATTGTAGCTTCCGTTATTGGTCAGATCATATCCATGTCGTATGTCATAGGAAATGTGGCTTATATTATGACTAAATACCTTGGTATAGACGTTATGTCAGCTTGTTCTTGGAAATCTGATATTGAACTTTCGGTTCAAAGTAGAGAGCAGCTTATTTTCTGGCGGAAAAACCTTAAATGTTTTAACCTTAAACAAAGTAAATTAGACAACACAGTGAAGAAATACTTCTACG